GCTCTGCTCCCTTGACTGCTTGCTTATGGTTTCCTGCAGCTCAATTACCTTAGCAAGGTCTTCCTCATGGCTCAAAGACCCATCAGAAGATCTCTGCTGGAGGAAAAATATCCTTAGTCTTGTTTGGTTAGCTATAAAATACCTCCAGAAAACAGGTAAAATCAAAACTGACTTATACAGTCTGTTGGATTACACAACTTTCATGATCAGTCGAGCTTAAGCCAGTGCTTTAGCGGCAGCTTTCCAAAACAGCTGACACACTTGTCGCGGACAAATGAAATTGGAATACAGAGAAAGCCTGAAGACTTGCCTTTCCGTTCGTACTCGGCGTGCTCTCTTGTTCATGGTTTATGTCAACCACTCCATCTGTTAGTGTTTTCTTCTGATTATTCTGTTCTTTAAGAATCATTAGCTAAAACCAAAAAATTAAATATGAAAGTAAAACACTTTACATAAGCAACATAAGACAGCAAAATTCCTATTGGAAAAACACTACTATAAACTGCTAAAACACAGTATAAAAGTATAAAGCATGTGGCAATGTTATCCAACCAATATATAGCCCGATCATTAAAAATGGAATTTATGATCTGCTGTACAAATGGGTATTTAAGAAATCAAAGTTTAGTTTACTAGTACTTAAAATGACCTGGATAGGTTGATCCTCAGTCAAAAAGATAAATATCATCTGATATCCACTACTACAGTCCTTATACTTTTTGTTAAATTTAGGGATAAAAATAAAAATCTCTCAATTCACATCACATGGTATCTCAAGCTTACCTCTTTGTGTGTGGCACCTAATTCTTCTTCTAACAAACTACATCTTTCAAGTGCTACTCGTAACCGTTCTCTCACCTGAAAATAAAAGGGGTTGAGTTTGCATGCGTTTGTTTGTTTGTTTATTTATTTATTTTCCTCTTTTTTGTCTTTTTGGAGACAGGGTCTCCCTCTGTCACCCAAGCTAGAGTGCAATGTTCATCATAACTCACTGCGACCTCAGACTCCTGGGCTCAAGCGATCCTCCCACCTTGGCCTCCCAAGCAGCTGTTGCTACAGGCACATGCCACCACACCCAGCTTAATTTTTTTCTTAATGTATAGTTATCCTAATATTAATGGACTAAAACATAATAGAATATCATTACTTTCTGTTACTTTTTTCTTTTGTCGAGACAAAGTCTTTCTGTTGCCCTAGATAGAGTGTAGTGGTCTCATCATAGCTCACTGCAACCTCAAACTTCTCTGCTCAAGCAATCCTCCTGCCTCAGCCTCCAGAGTAGCTGGAACTATAGGCAGACACCATGCTGCCTGGCAAATTTTTCTATTTTTAGTAGTGACAGAGTCATGTTCTTGCTCAGTCTGGTCTTGAACTCCTGAACTCAGGCAATCCTCCCTCCTCGGCTTCCTAGAGTGCTAGGATTACAGGTGTGAGCCAATATACCTTGCCTGAATACCATTACTTTCTTTCATTGATCTTATTGTCAAGAAAACATCCTTTGTTAAAACATCCTTTAAATTTTAAGTTTGAGAAAAGCTTCCCCCCAAATAAATTAGATTAACCAATTCTTAGCAATTCAATATACAGAATTAATCTTAAGATATTTATGACAATTAGTTCTTTTCAATGATATAGAACCCTTTCATCTTAGAGAGAAAATCTGTCTGCAAGAATTCAAGAAGCTCCAAAAATAAGCATTCCTCTAACACACGTGAAGCCTGCCCAACACCCAGAATGCGCACAAACCAAGACTTGCTACGTGTCTGATGGCACCTTTTCATCCAGAGCTTTGTGGTGTTCAAATAATGACTTCAGTGCTTTAAGCACTTCCACTTCGCTGGACACGCCTGCTGGGGACTGAGCTTGTCTCTTTACCACGGTCATCCTGAGGGACCGCTCGTGCCTAGAGACGAGGCATTCCAAGTGCTCCAACAGCAACTAAAACAAAAGGCCAAAGAAAGACATGTTTAAAAAGCACTTGTATTAGGTTAAGTATGAAATGGCCAATTTTCTTAAGTACTAAATTTGACAGTTGATATCTCTGACATTTCACTTTGACACTTCTTGTTTTATTTTTATTGTAAAGGTACATCCTCAGTCTTTTAAACACATGGTTTGCCTTGTGATTATCTTTCAAATTTTTTTTAGGGCAATTCTGTGAAACCACAGATAAGTCCAAAATTAGTGTGATTTTTGAACATGAGTTCTGTTGTGGAACAAAGGCACATGGACAGCTGGAGATATCAGCGAAGTGTTTGGGAAGGATGTGGCTAATGAATGCACAGTATGTTGATGTTTTGAGAAGTTCCATTCTGGTGATTTTAATCTTGAATATGAGCCACATGAGCAACCTGAGACCAGGGTGGATAATAATAAGCTAAAAGCTGTAGTGGAATCAAATCCGTCTCAATCTACGTGTGAATTAGCAGCAAGGTTTGATGTTACTATTCCAACAATATTGGACCGTTTGAAATAAATTGGCAAGGTAAAGAAGTTGGATAGATGGGTTCCACATGAATTAAGAGAAACTGTCTTGAAGCTTGCCTTTCTTTGCTGTCACGACATAAAGGGAATCATTTCTACACTCTATTGTTAAGTGTGATGAAAAATGGACTTTTAAAAATAACCATAAGCATTCAGCACAATGGTTAAAGATGAAGTGCTAAAACACAGTCCAAAACTGAATATTCATCAAAAAGCTAATGGTGTCTGTTTGGTGGTCCAGTGCTGATATTATCCATTACAGCTTATGAAACCTGGTCAATTGATTATAGCGGGTATCTACTGCAACCAATTTGGACGAAACAATGAGGATGCTTGCGATAAAGCAGCCGAGACTGGTCAACAGAGACAGGCCAATGCTCTTGCACGACAACGCTCCACCACGTGTTGCACAAACAACGCTGCTCAAACTACAGAAGCTGGACTTGGAAACTCTCCGTCATCCACCATATTCACCAGACTTTGTACCAACTGACTGCCACTTCTTCCCGGCTTTGGACAACTTGCAAGGAAAAATATTCAATTCTCAACAAGCTGTGGAAAATGTCTTTCTCGATTTCATTGCCACGTGTCATCCTGGCTTCTTCACTGCTGGCATAAACAAGCTGCCGTTAAGATGACAAAACTGTGTTGATAGTTTAGGCATATATTTTGATTAAATGTACTGTTTCTTGAGAGATAATAAACTTTTGATTCGAAATTGGACATTTCATATTTAATGACCTAATAATTTCACATTTGAATGTGGTGCTAATAGCTCCTTTATAATATGTGGAGAAACAAATTTGAATCTTTTCAGTTCAGTAGCTTACAGAAATTTCCCTCAAATGTATTAAAATATCATTAATTTTCATCAGAAATTTCAGGCAATATAAGCTAATGCTGAACTGATCAACCCAGTTGCTCAGTAAGGAACAGTATGAAATGTGTTTAAAACCAAACAGTGCTTGTCTTTTCCTTCTCAGACATCACCACCGATCCCGATACTGATTCCAGAGGCAAATGATGAACGGTAAGATCTGCCTGCTCACCCTGGTGTTGTTCCTTTCTGCTTTCAGTTCAGCAATTTCTTCTTCCCTTTCAAGGAGCTGTTCCCTGCATACATTGAGTTCTTTAGTAAGTGCTG